TTAAATTAAATCACACTGGCTGCTGGGCAAAATCTTAGAATCCTATAACTTCACAGGTCTGTGAGAGGTGTCTAGGTCTAATCTTCTGCCTCTAGGCAAGTGATTATCTAAGCTAACACTGTCCAATAGAAATAGATGTGAGCTGTCAAAGTAACTATAAATTTTCTAGTAGCCACATTTTAGAAATGGAAAAGAAATAGGTAAAATTAATTTTAATGTCCTGTTTTGTTTAAGAAAATATATTCAAAATTCATTTCTACATGTAATCATTATAAAAATTATTAGTGATATGTTTTACAGTCTTTTTTCATGCTAAGTCTTCAAAATCTTCCATGAATTTTACCCTGACAGCACATCTCATTCTGTGCTAACCACCTTCTGCATCCTCAATGGCCATACACCTTTTGTACAGCATAGATTTAAACCATCCAAGATGATTTGTTACCTATCATTATCTTGAAGATTTTCAGGAGCAGGCAATTCATGTTTGTTGTTTTTTTTCCCTTTTGTAAGAACATTTGCATAGGATACATATTTATAATTCTAACTGTTTCAAAACGTTTTTACAAGCAAGTGTCTTCATTTTGTGTAGATTATTTGCTTTTGGAGTGAGTATACCTCTTATCTATAAATATTCAATTTCAAACACTGAATAATAGTGCTATTATTATAGAGATTCACCTTTATCTTTTTACCTGTAGCCATTACTGGGATTTCAGTAGCACTTGAGCAAGTAATCCTATTTATATCTATACATTTGTATTTATGTCTATCTAGGTGAATCTCTACTCTTAGGCAAATGGATAGATGTAAATCTATCTGTGTAAAATGTATGTGTATCTGTAGAGACTTGTCTCAGCACTCACAAGTATAGAAGACATGTCTTCATTTAGAAATGGGAGAGTTATTTTTTCTGTTGGGCACAGATGGGTACTCTTTGAGTTGTGTACTATTTGAGATTGTATTTCAAGATGCTTGTGTAGAGAAGGAGAGAGAAAGATGTTCCCAGGTAGGGACTGTGGAATGAACAAAAACATGGCACCAAAAAAGGGAAACGTAGGGTATAATTAAAGAAGAGTGAGAAGAAGGTAAATAAAGGGGGTAGAGGATAGACCAATTGGCACTGTTAATGGAAGGTCTGGTAAGCCAGGTTGAATTTGGATTTTATTTTGTAAATAAGAGGAAATTATTTAAGCATTCTGAGCAAGGGAAAGACAAAATCATAGCTGTATTTTAGGAGAATTATGTTTATACTAATGTAAAAGAAGTCAGAGAGGGTGTTAGAATTACACCTTAGAGCAGAAGAAATTAGGATTCAGAGATTAGACGTGTTGTCCAGTGGATAGCGAGTGACCTGGGGGTCAATGCAGATAATTAAAGGAAACCCAGACAAAAATAAGAGCAAAAGGAAGAGGCCTGCACTTGTTGGGGTAAACAAGGAAGCAATAAATAAAAGACTCAAATGTGGAAGTTGTTTCTCACGTATGTATTATTCCAGGATTATTCCAGGGCGTTGGGTGGGGAGTCAGGCTCTTTTCCACATAGTTATTCAGTGACTTATACTGATGGTTGCTCCGACATCTCACCAGGAGCTTCCAAAATCATCCCAAAGGCTGACATCCCAGTCATCCACTAAGGTAAAAGAGCATGGAGGAAAATGCATGTGAGAGGATTTAATAGACCAAGCCTAGAACTTCTACTTGTGTTCCATTGTCCAGAACCCGGTCACATGACCACACCCTAATTGCAAGAGAGGCTGAGAAATAAGGCCTAGCTATGTGTTCAGAAAGAACAGAAAAATTATTTTGGCAAATGGCTAGCAGTCTTGGCCACAAAGATCAAGGAGAGAAGCTTGCATAATACCAACATTTAGGGGAAAGAAGGAAAAGTAGAGAGTAACAGCAACAAGAATAATAAAAACTGTAATAAATATTATTAACTTTCTGTGTACACACATTGCATAGTTCATGTTTATTAACATGGAGGTAGAGGAGGGTTCATGAAAAATGTAGGAAGAAAACCAAAATACTTCATTTGTCTGCTCCATTCTTGTGCTTATGCCACCCAAGCTACATACCTTTATGCAGAATTTGAGAGGCCCTGAGACCACCCTCACTTCTGACAGTAATTACAAGTTTGGGAACCCCCAGGACTACACTAAACTTCCATAATTCACTAGAAGCACTCATAGAGCTCACTGAATGCTCTTCTATTCACATGTATGTTCTATCACAGACCTGTCCCAGTGCAGCCATGGATAGCTAGCTGACTTCCCACAGCAACCATGTGTTAGAATACTCGCGGTATACTGCCAAGCAGAGAAGCTCATCCAAACACGGGCCTCCAGAGTTTTAACTAGGGATTGGTCATGTAGACATGGTTGGCTGCCCATGTGGTTGAACTTATCCTCTAGCCCCTCTGGAGGGTCAAGCTGATACCAAGGCTCCCAGGTAAACAAAAACACTCCTATCAGGCAGGACATTCTGTGTGCTTAGAGATTACTTTCTTGGAGCTGAGGGCTCAATGGTTTATCAGTGGTTTTTTATCTTTTACCCACTGCAACATTTTATACTTTGCTTTCTAAAGTAGTCAGAGGGATTTTTGCTGTGGTTAGGTTTCTGTGGTATTTGCTGCTGTTATCATGTGTTTAGTTTCCATCTTCCCTGGTTGATTTTATTCCATGGATTACCACAATATCCCAGTGCCTGGCACCAGGGGTATGGGATAAATGTTTGTTGAATGAATTAAAGACTGATAAAATGAAAGGGATTATTTTGTAAAAATGGTGATAAGTTGAAGTTGGATGACAATTTCCCAGTAGTAGAATATTTTAAATTGTGTGGATTGACTTCTTCAGGATATGTTGCAAAGAAGCGCCTTTCTATTTTATTTTTAATATGATTATCATCTATCATTATCTGAAAACTTTTAGAGTCAGAACCAACAGATGTTCTCTTTCCTTTATTTTTGTCCCACAGGATTGACTGTGGGACGTTTTCCCGTTGACCTCCATGAATGGACTTGCTACAGGGAAAAATTACCAGTAGAGAAGAATAATTTTTGGTGAAAAGGTGGCCACCTGTGGTGTAGAGGGCAATGATCCTCATGAGTGTTGTTTTCCTTCCTAGGAATCGTTCTGAGGCTGTTGGAGGTGTGTGTGGCATGTCCCCATCTCAGGATCTCAGTGGGCATCGCCCGTGCCTAGTCACCTATGTGCCTAGTCACTTCCACCTGTCCCTTCCTGCCTCACTTCTGCCGTCCCAGGACTTGGCTCTACGTTTCTTGGATCTTGAAGGACCTAGATCCCATATCACAATACAACTTTGGTTATTCTTGCCTGAAAATTATTTGAGTCTACAGGCCCTGAAGGGAAAATGTGTTCTATTTGAATCTGAAGACATACATTTATTTTAAAAGATGGGTGACACTTGGTATTTTTTCCAGCAAAAGTAATTTGGTATATATTTTTGCTTCTCTCTACTGAGCTTTGGGGTTCAGACGGTGGTTGTTGTGTGGATACTTCTGGAGTAGGTTATAATAAAGGTGGACCATGTATAAAATAGATTTCTAAATTACTTGGTTGTTCTATAAAACTTCTTGTTGAAGTCATCACCTGTATTAGTCTGCTCAGGCTGCTATAACAAAATACCATAGACTGGGTGGCTTAAACAGCAGACTTTCTTTCTCACAGTTCTGGAGGTTGGGAAGTTCAAGGTCAAGTGCCAGCAGGTTCCATTCCCAGTTAGGGTCCTCTTCCTCACTTGCAAATAGATGCTTTCTTCCTGTGTGCTCACATGGCTTTTCCTCAGTGCATGCATACGGGGGAGAGGAGGGAGATCTCTATTGTTTCTTCTTATGAGGACACTAATCCCATTATGAGGACTCCACCTTCATGACCTAATTACCTCCCAAAGGCCTAATCTCCAAATACCATCATACCGAGGGATAGGACTTCAACATACGGATTTTGAGAAGATACAATTAAGTCCATAACATCCCCCATAGAAAAATAATTACATGCCAATGTGTTTGGGATGAATAAGATAAAAACAAGCAATTTTCCTGTAAAACCTGTAGACTCAGTCTTGTTCCGTTATGTTAATCCAATACAATGCTTTCCCTCACAGCTCAGAGCCCTTGTAAAGCAAATGAGAAAAATATACAATTATTCATCATATAAATTCATCATTTCCAAGGTAGTGTACCATAAGAAGGAATATGGAATCCTATTCATCATACTATTAATATTAAAAAGCAAGTGTCCCATTTCTGAACAATAGGATTGTTGCTCATCATCTCATAGATGATGAGCAACAATCCTAGCAGCCCTGTTCACCATCAGAAGTATGTATTTTTGGAAGCAGTAAAATTATTTAGTTTGAAAAATTTAGTTTGAAAAATTGAGAATTAATTGGATGAAGGGCTTACTGAATCAGTAAGATGTATGAATTAGGAGAAATTTATTATGCTTTGGGTATACAGAGACTTGAACTAAGTTTTAAGAAACCTCTGGCCTTAGAAGTATAATTTACCCATTACAGATATAAATGTGTTTCGAACAGTCTTTACTCAAAGCACTTTAGTGCTACCATCCTCCTCCTTAGCTAATTCACTAAATAAAGGCAAATTTTAATAGCATTTGGTCTCAATTATCATGGAATTTGCAGTGTTGGACCTGGATAAATGAGGCTTACATCAAAATATTTAGAGATGTTTTTTCTTATTTGTTGAATATATGCTTCAAAAATGACCACATTCATGGATAAAGAAGCTATAGACCTAATGTCTCTTTTAGTTATAGCTCAAAGTTTTTCTGAACACAGTTTTTCCATTTCTAGAATTTTGGTAGCATCAACTCCAGTACTACTTTGAGGGGTAAAATGAGAACTGTTTAAACTCCTTGCATTCCCTAACTTTCTTGTATCCCAAATCTAAATTTGAAATCTCCTCTCTTTATCTCTGAAAAGAAAACTGAAGTCAGGTGGGTCTTTTCCTTGCAGGAGAATGCTGTGAATGGAGAACACTTGTGGCTGGAGACCAACGTCTCAGGAGACCTCTGCTACCTGGGAGAGGAGAACTGCCAAGTCCGATTTGCAGTGAGTGTGCCCGCCAGGCTCCGGGCCCCGTCTTTCTGGGGGAAGGCCTCTGCGTCTGAAGGCAGAGGGGCTCGCTGTGCCTGAATTTGCAAGGAGAGGTTTGAAGGCACCTGTCCTTGTGAGCTGGAAAACCTCCTGGATGTTTTATGGTTTACAGAGAGAGTTTCTCACGTTAACATGGCTTGCAGGTTGTCCCTGTTAATGGGTTTAGCATTTGATTATGCAGGCCAGACCTCGGTGTAATGCGCTACTTTATGATGATGCCCAGGTCGGCTTTCGTATGTGTGTGGGGGAGAGGGTGAGTGTGCATGAGGGCGGGTCTGCTTTTGGAGGGGATGCCCGGCTGGGGCAGAGCTGTGTGTGGAGGAAGGGACTCTGGGGAAGAGGTGATCTGTTGTAGAGGAGTGGCCGCAGTGGCGTTGCCGGGGGATGGAGATGAAAACAGGGTGGAGACGCCTGTGCTGGGGGTGGGTGTGCACTAGCAAATAATCCAGACTAAATGATGGAGGGCACAATTCTAGAAATGATATAAACAATCAATAGGTCAGTTGTTGGAGTGTTCTTTGCTTTTTGTCCCTATTGAGAACAATCTGTTTAAAGGTTGAAATTCTCTTTGTGCTCTGTGGACAAAGCATGGTTGCCAGGCGGTGCATTGTGGAGGAACTAGAACTTTAGCGTTGAGAAAGCAAACGTAACATTTTTGTATAGTTTAAAATTATTGGTCCACAAAGAGAGTAATGGGAAATAGAATAGTAAAAAAAAAAAAAAACAACAACAAGAAAAGATGTATTACTTCTTATTTGGGGAAATTGCTGTCAAATTTACATAAAACTTTTATTTTCTTTTTTGTTTTATTTGTTTTTTATGTGAAAGAAATGTTTGGGGCAAAATATAGGGCCTTGACATTGCAAATGAGTATGTTTCTGTTAATAACTAATGAGGGAGAAATTGCGTTTCCAGCAAAGCTTATAGAAAAAAATATATATCCTCCACAGACTTCTATCAGGCTGCCTGAAATCTCCAAGTCTTGGAACCAAGACCTTTTACATCACTTTAGCTGTTTTGACCACTAGTTTATAGGTTTTGTTTGGAAAAACTTTGAGAGTTTTGGGGAAACCATCGTTTATTTGAGTGAGGTTGAGAATAAATGTTGGGGAAAGGCCCAGACGATAAGGCTCTGCTTTTGATGTTAGGAAACTTGGAGTTGAATCTCAATGTTACCATTTATTATATGACATTGAGAAGACATGACCTTTGGGCCCTGGCTACTTTCTAGGTACAAAAAGAGTAGGATTAAATTATTTTTAATTTTTCCTTTAACTCAGTATTTAATTAATCATTTGCATTTCTTCTAATCTTGTTGTAAATTCAATTGATTTAAATATCAGGATTTCAGTTTATGCATATGTATTTTTAATTCAAGTGTAATTGCATAGAATTTGATTAAATTAACCAAATCCAAGAGAAGCTCAGCTGTTTGGACTAAAATGCTATAAATAATGAATTAGCATTAGGGTCTTAGTTAATTGCATAAACACTGGTCTTGGGATATCAGATAATATAAAATGAAAAAAAATGAAAGCTAATCTTCTTTGTGTACATATTTTTTTAACAATTTCTGCTGATTCTGTTGCCAACTGGTAGACTATGATTTGTTACAGAGTTATGCCTTATCTCCAAATTGCTCTTTTTGATTCTTTTCTGTTACTTTTTTTTTTGGCACAGCTACATGTTACCTCTCTTGAAAAATGATATGAACAGATCCATACTCCTAAAACCTTGTATCAGTAAATAGCATTGCTATCCTCTAAGGGATTATTACATGGTCACTATTAGCTCTAGGCCATGAAAAACAAGTGAATAAAGGAAATTTTAGGTAGAAGTAGGAGGAAACAGAATTGAGTAAATTCCAAGTGTCCTTCTGAACCTTCCTCATAATTTCATCTAGGTGGTTGGCCCTGTTAACTCATGTTACAAAGGGTGTGGAAGATGAAGAACTCTCTTCCAAAGGAATGCTGATTAAATGAAGGAAAAAATCAGTAAGGAAGCTGAAAAACTAACTATAAGTACCTTAAAGCTCGGTTTCTTCATCTATAAAGTGGGGGAAATGCTATTTTGAGGATTTGATGTGATAATACATAGAAAGGGCTTACTTGGCACAGCAACTGACTTAATTAATTAAAGGGAAAAACCCCCAGAAAGAACAAGAACAGAAAATTCACAAAAATTTGCCAATATATATGGAAAAATATAAACAAAGACAGCCAAATTAAAGCAGCTCTGAGGCATCAACGTCATGTGCCTATTCAATTAGCAAAGATTTATAAAATGATAATACTGCTGGTTGGTTTGGGCTGAAGTGGATCTCATTAACATCTGGCAGGAGTGTAAATTGATATACTTCACAAAATTGGCAGTATGTAGTAAAAGCATCAAAAAAATACTCCTAGTTTTCTCTCCCACATTGTGAAGCACGTGTCATCTTTGGGCTTTACATTCTGGGAGAGACATTGGCAAGCAGCAAGGGAGCCAGGGGAGAGCGCCCAAGTTGGCTCAGGAGATGGAACCTTGTCATAAAGAAAAGTTAAATAATGTAGGTTACAACTGAGTATTAAAGAGGGAAGATAGAGAAATGTCCAGTATTTGAATAGGTGCCATGAAGAAAAGAGAAATGACTTCTTATCTGTTGTTAGGAAGGTAGAATTAAGTTATCTAGAACCCACTGACTCTGTATTTAGAGAGTTAAGATATAGATATATAATCCACTGAAATATAAACATCACCTGGGAAACTTGTCAATGATAGAAATTACTTTTTCCCCTCTTTGGTCCAAATGTTGATTCAATATGCCTGGATTTGGACTTGGGAATCTGTGATTTTAACAAGCACCTCAAATAATTCTGGTGCACATGGTTTGCAAACTTAACTTTGAGAAATACAGTATAAGAAAGAACCTTAAAAACTACAAGGTGTTCCCAAAATCGCCATACATAGGGAAAATGGGAAATTGTAGCTAAATGTACCTTTATTTGCAAAATAGTCATTGCAAAATTTTACAAAATTTTTCCTTTGTATGGAGACTTTTGGGACACCCTGTAGAGCTGTCTAGTAAGGGAACAAAGTGCCTGGAGAAATGGACTCTAAGGATGTGTGTTTTTGAGTGACTTGAGCAACTGTCTTTCAAGGATACTGTAGACAGATGCACACCTACTTTGTCTAAGAGGTCAGATGCAGAAATCTTCAGAAGAGCTTGCAGTTTAAATGTTTTAATGTTCTATTTGCAGCTTTATTAGAATTGAACAATAGTTTTGTAGGAAAAAAGCATGCACAAGTAGATTCTATTCTCATTTCTTTTAGTGAACCACATTTGAGGAAAGCCTACCTGTTGGGGCTGGGACTAAATCATCATAGCCAGGTACCACCTGAAGACTCTTAAACAAAGTACAGGGAGAATGCTTGGAGGAGGAGTGACTCCATCACCAAAGACATGCCTTTTTATTCTTTTCTGATTTTTGCAAAGCAAATGTCACCAGTAGAAGTTAAGAGAAGGAAGAAGTCAGTGTGGGTTTACAAAGACAGAGGCAGCTTCATGGAAATGGGGTTTGAGCTCAGTTTTGAAAGGTGGGTAAGATTTGCATAAGTGTGCTTGGGGAAGGAAAACATTTCAGGCAGGGAGAAGAACATGAGCAATCTCAGAGGCTGGGGCGAGCTGTGTACAAGGGAGGTGGCGATTGTGAGACATGCACGAGCACACCAGAGGGCATGTGTCAAGGAAGAATGGAAATAAGGACTGATGGGGCAGGCTGTGTGTCCACATTTTCTAAAACAATACTTGGAGCTCACGGTATAAATGTTGGTGGGCTTAGGAAGTATGAACATATAATATATTGTATAAACCAAGGCAATTTTGAGGGTGAAAGTGGCTGCTGTTAATGATGCTGTAACATTAGGAGTAAACCAGAACTGCATTAGGGAAATCGAGATGATCACCCAAACTTTTGGGGATGTTGGAGCATTTATTTAAAACCAAAACTGCCCACAAAGCCAGGCTGTCCTGCTGCTATGTGAATTGACATTTGGGGGCTGATGTTAGAGGTATTGAAAGCAAGGCAGTGACTTCTAAGGATCCTAGAACTGTTCTAGGAGAGTTCTTCCAAAGTTTTGGGGCTGAACTACTTGATGTTTAAAATCTTTCCTTTTCTGTGTTTCTCTAGTGGCAAGATTTAATGCTGAGGAGTACCTGTCTACAGATATTTAATGGTATTAAATTTGTTCCCAAGTCAGTGGCGGTTCACAAATAAGTAACTATTTCTTTTTCTGGTCTAGAGAGAAGGAAAGGATGCAAAAGTAATGAAATTGGAGTAGAAAGAGTACTGTTTCCCAGCTGGATTATGGAGGGAAAAACCTGAGGTAAAATTCCAGCTAGAACCACTCTTGTCTGGTGACATTTATTTTGATGTACATTTCTTCATTCATTTATTCTGTCAGTGTCTATGGGCTGGGCTGAGCATCCAGCTCCAGCAACTCCAGACAGTGTTGAGTGACAGCTAACAGAGAGTGATGACCTCTCCATTCAGTGGGTGCACTCTGGTAGAAACTGTTCTCATGCTCCATGGGAGAGTCCACAAAGATGTTGGGCCAAACATTTGTTTGGAGGAGCTCACTGCTCCACTAATGATGCATAGAGTCCATCGTGCACTCCCACTTTTACATTTGAAACTATCCTACCTCTGTGTGTACATGTGTACACCCACCGTGGTCACGTGGGCCTATGTAGGCAGAGATGGAAGTGTGGGCAGTGGGAAGGCCTGCTTACCATTTCTGTACTGAGTGACCTTGGGGCATGTCACTTCATCTCTTTTTACCTCAGTTTCCTTATTTAAAATATTTTTACTAGGTCTGTCCTCAGTGATCCTTATTTCTGGATGAGTATTATAGTCATTTATGGCACTTGACTTTTGAATAAAGTGGTGGTTCTCATCCTGCATCTCTCATGTTAG